TATTGACTATTTTATTTGGCAAATGAAACAATATTTTCTAATACATTGATAAATATTTCCTTAATTTATTCTCTCTTCTCTGTATGCTGAGTGAACAATGAAAAGAAAATGTTTCTAATTTATTCTAAACATATGCCAAATGTTGAAAACATTATTCCATAAATATTGTTCAATCATCTCTAATTACAACTTTAATGTTAATTTGAGTTTTGCATACAAGATATTTCATCAAATAAACTTGTGCTAAACAGAAAGATACATCAAATAAGCCTATAAGTATAGACTTACCATTTTCAAATATATAACATCTTCAGTTTTAACCATGAAAAGATTTTTAACAAAAGAGAACATAAAAGCAAAAGATAAGGCGCTTGATCCAAACAATTTAAATCAATTTTTTGAGTTAACTATTGTTTCTGAGTCACAGAAACAGAATATTGAGATAAGCATATAGGCATCTTAATAAGGATCTGTGAGGGACTGTAGAAACCCACTCTGAGGTCATGTCTACACTAAGAAATTATTTCAAAATAATAACTCCTGAAATAACTATTTTGAAATGGCATGTCCCCACTACAGGGAAGCGTTGAAATTAATCCAAGGCAGATTCGCTTAATGTGGATGCACTCCCTCAACTTAGAGCCGCAGGAAGCACTGGGGAGTAATTAGTTTGAATGGCTCTGGGGAGTAGTTATTTTGAAATAGCAGCAGTGGAGAGTCAAAATAAATATTTTGAAATAAACATTATTCCTCCTGGAAAGCAGGAATTATTTCAAAATAACCAGCCCCTTATTTGTAATGTGGACTTTGTAGTGTGGACACTACACTTGTTGTTTTGAAATAAAGGGAGTTTGAAATGAAGGAAGCTAATAGTTATACGTTCTTTCCCCTTCCCTTAAAAGCAATGTTAACATACTTATTCCTCTATTCAGATTCATCTCTAATCTTCTCGTTTGATCATTTCCTCACTCCCTGGTAATGAGAGAAAGGGGTAAGAAGAGCAAGCAACATCCCAGTATTCAGAGCTGTAGCTGTATTCACTTCCCTCCGGAAATAGCGCCCTGGTCTAACTGCCATGAATATGTCTCCTGGACTGGAAGTACCAGTCATGGCCTACTGTTTACGGCTCAGTCATATAGTAATTTCTAGAGTCTAAAAAGCCTTTTTGAGTAAGGTAAAATAATGATGTAAAACTGCTATGATTTCTAGCTGCCAGATTGAAAAAAATAAATTTATGATTATATGTTGATGAATAAAGATGTACAGTAATGAAGATGTACCCACTTGGCTACTTTATTGAGCTCAGTTAAAATAGGAAATAATATAACAATCTTATTGGCATTTCACTAAATGATTATTAAAGAAAAAGCACTCTCACATGCTACTGTATATAATTAAATATAAAAGCCACAAAATTGAAACAATTTTTGAAATTCAAAGTGGCTCATTCTTGTGTGAGCCAATCTTTACTTTGGTAGGCAACAACCTATGGGGGGAATAGTCTCAACTGTAGCAGCATAAGACTTAGAAAAAAACAAATAAATGTTGAAAACTGTGTCTTCACCTTCTAGAGCATTTACTTTAAGCTTGGATCACTTCAGCAAATCAACTTATCTGCCTTCCCTCTAAATCAGTCAAATGGTCTACCAGAGAAGATATTTTGGTGTCATGGTAAAAGTGTTATCTGGAGTTCTCTGAAACCAAAACTCTTGATAACTTCTATTTTAGGTGAGGCAGTGACAGGAAATGAATCAACAGGGATGCAGCCACCTTATATATGTATGACATATAGGGTATATGTCTAGGGAACACTTTTTTTGTGGAAGAGCAAACGCGTTCTTTCTGGGAGCCCTCATTTTACAAGGAATAAAGGCTTTCCCCAAAAGAGGAAGCTTTTCTGCCATTTGATCCCCAAAAGAGGAGGCTTTCCCTAGAGGGGGCCATATGGCGGAAAAGCCTCTTCTAGAAAAGCAATTGGAAAAAGCTATGCCAGTTGCAGAGCGCAATGATGTAGCTTTTTCCAATAAAAGAGTGTAGTTTGGACCTAGCCAAAGTGCTTTTATTTAAAGCTATACTTTATTTAGTCTCAAACTCTCAAACACATCTCCAACAGATTAGTAATAACGCTCCAATCCTCAATAATTACCAAATCTGGAATGGTTTTCATATGATACAGCACATGATATCTGATAGCCCGTCTTCTGTCTGCCATTACGGTGTCCACAAAGTGTTCCAGCTAGCCTAAACTTCTCCCCACTTATTTGCTGTGTTAGTACAACATCTCAATTAAAAAAAACTTGTTAAGCAAGCAATTTTATAGGTGAAACAAGAGGTGTCCACAGACTGTTAATTAGACAGATGTGTTTTTGCAAAGTTTGCATTCTGGAGAGTCCTGACAAACACACCCCAGATAGGTTTCCTGTTTTCTAAAACCACCTTCCTCAGCAATTTCAATGGGGATTTTATCTGAAAGGAATCAGGAAAAGACTCCTTTCTTGTGGTCGCTTAAAACTCATTCCCTTCCCTTTAGATTTAGTTATGCTAAGGTTGTTGCACAGGCCCACTAAAGACCTTATGAATTGATTGGGTTTGGCAATAACCACAAGAATCAATATTCCAACTATGTGCACTAGTCCAGGAAATGTCCTGATCCTCCAAGATCTCTCTGAATGAAGGTCCAGTATTTATAATCCTGCTCATTGAGAGGAGAAAAAATCTTTTATGAGCCTTGAATTTCAAAATAAGGAAGAAATCATTAGAATGCAACAGCAGGAAAATTGATGGAAAATGTCCTAAAGTATTTGTAATTTATTTGCATTATTGCCACAGTGATTAACCATATTACCTAATTGATACGGTTGATTGTAAAAGGGAGTTATCTTCAGTTAATGAAAGTGTTGGGAATAATTCTTGGACACACTGGGTGCAGGTGAAAACAAGCAGAGGATTTATTGGTTCACACAGCTGGTGGAGTACTCATCAGGGGTTAACCCGGTGAGCACTAACTTAACCAAAATATACATTAGATTATATAGGTAGCAGATGGACAGAGGAGAAGTAATTTGATAGGTCTAGCAGCAGAAGTGAGATATGCACATAAGCCAGTGGTCTGAGACAGTTACACAGCATCTCCGCCCATTGCCAATTAAACATATTATCACTAATACAGGTAATTATTCCTAACAAGCTAAATAAGCCAACATAAACAAAGGCATGTTGATGGTCATTTTGTTCGCCAAAAATATAATGCATCTCCTGTGAGGGTGGTATTGCCATGGAGTGATCTTTTGGATCCAAGCTTATTAACAAAGCAGACAATGAAAAACAATCTCGTGCGGTTGTTTGGTTCTTTAGTACCAGCCTTATCAAAGTGAGGCCCTTTTGGAATGTGGTTATCAGGGGAACCAGGGTCACAGTAATTATTGTACTGTATGCTTCCCAGGGCTGGCCTAATGATTTGAGATTTGAGTTTGTCCGTTCTCAGCAAGATACCATGGACTGCCTCAATTTACCCTAAACAAGTGTATATAAGCATTGTGCAACTGAACATAAGAACGGCCATATTGGGTCACACCAATAGTTCATCCAACCCAGTATCCTGTCTGTCGACAGTGGCCAATACCAGATGCCTGCAAAGAAACAGAGGCTAGGGACACCATTCCTACCCATCCTGGCTAATAGCCATTGATGGACCTAACCTTTATGAATCTATCTAGCTCTTTTTTGAACCCTATTAAAGTCCTAGCCTTCACCATATCCTCTGGCAAGGAATTACAGAGATTGACTGTGCATTGAGTGAAGAAAAATTTCCTTGTTTGTTTTAAACCTGCTGCCTATTAATTTCATTTGGTGGCCCCTAGTTCTTATATTGTGGGAATAAATACATAACTTTTCCTTATTCATTTTTTCCTCACCAGTCATGATTTTATATACCTCTATCATAGCCTCCCTTAGTCTCCTCTTTTCCAAGCTGAAAAGTCCAAGACTTTTTAACCTCTCTTCATATGGGACCTGTTCCAAATTCCTAACTATATTTGCTGCCTTTTCTGAACCTTTTCAAATGGCAATATATCTTTTTGAGGAAAAATGGCTCTTGCACAAAAGGGGAGTTTTGGGGCAAAAAGGCGCTATCTACACAGCACTTTTTTGTGCAAAAACCTCTTGCGCAAAAGGAAAAGGAAGAGGAAATGCAAATGAGAGCACAGCGTATGCAAATGAGTACTCCATTTGCATTTGCTCTTCCACAAGAGGATTGTAGTTTAGACGTAACCTTAAAAAAATTTTGGTATTACTTTTTGAGTTTTTGGCTAACTATTCTTCAAACTCCTTTTTGGCTTTTCTTAATATATTTTTATAATTAATCTGACAATGTTTATGGTCTTTTCTATTTTCTTCACTAGGATTTTGAACATCTACAGAAGTAACAAACTAAAATCTTGTTTTAAATTAGAATACTTTCTTATCACTGTTAATCCAAATTTATTTTTTCATAATCACTCAAGTAGAATTGTATTTTGCTAATAGAAGATTCTGCATTGTAATATAGATGCCAGAAAAAAATATGAGTTAACACTGATACACTAGGGCTGTGTCTAGACTACATGCCTCTGTCGTCAGAGGCATGTAGATTAGACACATAGGCAAAGGCAAATGAAGCCGCGATTTAAATGATCGCGGCTTCATTTACATTTACATGGCTGCCGCGCTGAGCCGACAAACAGCTGATCAGCTGTTTGTCGGCTCAGCGCGGCAGCCATGTAAATGTAAATGAAGCCGCGATCATTTAAATCGCGGCTTCATTTGCCTTTGCCTATGTGTCTAATCTACATGCCTCTGACGACAGAGGCATGTAGTCTAGACACAGCCCTAGTGTATAATAATAAATAACCAAAATTCTTTTTTGGTTGTGATTTTTGTTGTTGTTGTGTTTTTGGATTGTTTTCTAAAGAGCTTCTTCTAGCATGATTATTGAGTAATGTTTGTAATTTGTGTTTTCAAAGCCAATGAAAAAAAATTTGGAGAACAGTTTCTTCATCTGTTTCTTGAGGAAGGACAGCCAATGGTTCGATTCGGGTGTGGCAACTCACAAAATATTCTGGCTGTGTCCGTAAATCAATCTATTAGTAAAGATGTACTTTCATCAATCACAATAAGGTAAGAACTTGCTATAATATATTGAACTAAAGCAAGACTCAATGCAATTCATCCATTTGCAGTTAAACATAGCAACATATACAGATGCAAGAGAAAGATGCTAAAAATGTATTGAACATAAAGGTGAAACATGATGCTCAGTGGAGCAGAGTGAAGTGTTCTTTTGACACATTTGTTACATAGCCTTAAAAAGTACTTCTTTTTTCAGAATCAGTTGCTGGACAATCAACAAGACATGAAAGGGTTTTGTGTATTGAACATTTGATTAAGATAATCCTATGCCAAGAGCATCATCAGATTCAACATATGTACCTCAAATCCCACAACTGAGCTATTTTCTAATTATGACTCTTTATTGTCAGTAAAAGAGTCATACTTTGGAAAAACTATGGGTTTGTTGGAAGTATGTTCAGTATCATCTAAATAATTGTGCAAGCAGATTCATCTATTTATTCCATTGGATAGTTTATGAACCAAACGGAACTTACTAAGAACCAGACAGTTTTTGGTTACACTTTCTGATTTATCATGTGTGGTGCATTCTTCTTCATCTTTTTGTTGAAGTTGAGCTGTGCTCTGAACAAACGATGGCCACTACTGTTGTTAAATGAGAGTATTATTGAGATGTCTTGTATAATGCACCACTTATCAATCATAATAGAGTCAATCTCTTTCTTGTTCTTTGCATTGGGCACAATCCATGTCCTTCTTAAATCAGGTGTTACCAATGAACATTTATTTCATTTGTGCCAGACTTGTCCATTACTCTCCTTGTGAATTCTATTTACCAGTACCATATATTCCAATGAACATTTCATCTAATTTCCTGATGTAAGCAGGGTCTGAACGAACGCTTCCATTATATTGAGCTGGAATAGGAGAGAAACCCTGGGTTTGTCTGTATAAATACAGTTTGCTCCTGCTTTGCTTAGATGTGTTAGATATTCAGTTGTCGGAATGGTGTTTTGCTCATTGTAATTAATTTGGCTGGTGTGGGGTCACAAATTGTATTAACACTAAATGCAGTCATTGTGAAATATGATCACTAATGCTTGTAATTATTATGGGAAAAGAGAAAAGACTGTGTTTAACCCATTTCAAAAGGAGAGAGACACTATTGGTATCAAGAAACTTGAATGGACAGAGACTCCACTGCCAGAGCCCTGTGTAGTTAAGTGTGAGAGGGCAGGATTCTGAATCAGCAGGCTACATGTCCTCCAGTGAGCTATAAGACTGGTTCAACCTGTTTCTCCCCACTATTTCAATAACAGAGCTACAATAGTCTCCATAAGGAGTTTCTTTTATTATTTTAAATTTACTCCAGTGTGTGCTGAAATTTTTTGTGGTTGCACAGTGCTTTGCACCAAGAGCTGAAACCCTGGGTTTTGCCCAGAGCCTAATTATTGCCAAGTTACTTCCCTTCCTTTTATTAAAAGTTTATTTTCTTCATTTAGACTCTTTGCTTGTGAGAGGGGAAGCATTGCCTCTCAGAGGCACCCAGGGATGGTCTGTGAAATTCCCAGGTTCCTGGGTGGGGGCTTGAGCCAGATCTGTCTGGATGGATGGAGAGGAACCCCTAGATTTTGAATATGGCTCTGGTGGCTGCTGATTTTACATGGTAGAAGGGTTACACCTCTTTCAACTTTGGCATTGAAATCTCCCATTGCAATCATGTGATTTTTTTTTGATTAAGGGTTTCCTTGAGGCCCTAATAGAATTCTTCCCCATTCTCATCTTCACTTTTGCTTGTGGGATCATAGGTCTGAATAAATTTGAGGCTGCTGTTCTTGTTCAGTTGCAGGTATAGCACTCGGATACATGATGACTTAAACTTACATGTAAGTTTAAGTTACTTAGATGATATTTGAAAACTATTTCCTTGTTGATGGTGAAGACGATTCCTCCAGTGGTTCTCGTGCCTTTTCTTTTTCCCAACATGATGGTTATTTTGTATCCCCCACTTCTCTTCCATCTCCTTTCCTCATTGTGTTTTGTAGAGACCAATGAAGTCACAGGCTGCCCTTGCCTTCTTCTCCATTAGATGGTTAATAGCATTGTGTCTCATCTGTGTCCTACATTTATAGGTGTAAACTCAGAGGCCAGTCCTTTTTCTGGCCCCTGAGATTCTTGGCAGCCTCTCATTAACTGAACTCCCCACCACAATCATAGAACAGATCAAGGAGTTGGGACCCATTTATTCATGTTGTTATAGCCATTTCTTCATCTACCCACTTGCTATGCTGTCAATGGTGCTTTTACCTCCTCAACTGTGCTAGCATCCGATCTCAAGAAGGACAGTTATCCTCTCCCTAGGGCAGCGGTCTGGCACATCAATAGTATGTTTAAATCTACCGAAGAATGTGCTGTAATATCCTTGCTGCCGACAAACCAGGGTCACCACTGAGCCACTTTGAGGCAGTGAGGTAGGGTTTTGCAGCAGTGGATAATTCTCTGAAAACCATTTCTCAATGTGCAGTGGCATTCAAAAAAAATCTAACAGAATGCTAAGAACCATTAGGACAGAAATTGATAAGAAGACAGAAAATGTTATAATGTCACTGTACATACCTCTAGTATGTCTGCATCTTGAATAGCGTATGCTGTTCTGGTCACCTCACCTCAGAAAAGTTATATTAGAACTTGGAAAAATATAGAGAAGGGCAACAAAAATGATTAAGTGTATGCAAAAGTTTCCATGTGAGAGATTTCAAAGATTGGTACTTTTCAGCTTGGAAAAGAGATGACTAAGAGGGTATATCATAGATGGCTATAAAATCATGACTAGAGTGGGGAAAGTGATTAAGGAATTGGTATTTATTCTTTCATATAACTCAAGAACCAGAGGCCACTCAATACAATAAACAGGCAGCAGGTTTAAAACAAGCAAAAGGAAGTACTTATTCACACAGTGCATAATCAACCTTTGGAAATCATTGCCAGAGGATGTTGTTCAGAGTGTTAATGGGTACGGTAAAGATTTAGGTAAGTTTATGGAGGATAGATACAGCAATGGTTATTAGTCAAGAATGCAACCCCATTTGATTGTCCCTAGCCTGTGATTGTTAGTAGCTGGGAGTGGGCAACAAGGGATGGATGACTCGACAATTTCCTGTTCTGTTCATTGCCTCTCACATACTTGGCACACACCAATAGCAGACTACAGGATATTGGGCTAAATAAAGCATTGGTCCCAGTATGGCCGTATTTATGTTCTTATGAGATGGCAAACTCTCTTTCTTTCACTATTTAGAGGTTTCTTTTAAAATTTAGTTGACCATATAAAGCAGGGCTGGAAAAACTTCCTCCTGCAGCTTGATTTGATCTGGCCCATGACGGCTTTCTTTCTTCCCCACACAGGGGCACAAGCGAGCACTGGCACAGGTGCACCAACACCTGCCAATTCACACTTCTGTGGGAGGGATTCAGTCCTGAGACTTGTGGGCCTGATTCAGGCAAGCCTGGACTGTCTAGAAGGAAGCAGCTCCTATGTGCTGCAGGAAAGAGCTCCATGCAGGCACAGCCCCCTTTTATTCCTGTTTGTCAAATCACAGCTAATAGGAGCACTGGGGGATGGTGCTGGGAAAGGAGCTTTACCTCCATCCTCTGCCCCCTATTTCCAGACCCCGCACCTACTCCCTGCTCTTGCACCCCCTTCTGCCCAGACCCTGCACCCACCTCCCTGCTCCTGCACCCCTTTCTGCCCAAACCCCACCCCCAGCCTGCTCCTGCACCCTCCCAAACCCCAGACCACACTCTCCCACCCTCAACCCATTCCTGCACTCTCCCTCCCACCCAGATTCTGCATTCCCCACCTCCACTCTGCTCCTGCACCACCCTTCCAAACCCCACATCCCCAGCCCAGCCTGTTCTCACTCCCCTTCACTTCCAGACTTTACTCACGTGCCTTCCCTCCAGCAAAGAACTCCCCCACCTGCAGCCCACTTCTGCACCATAATTCCACAGACCCCACACCGCCAACCCGTTCCCACATCTCCCTCCTATTCAGACTCCACACACACCAGCCTGCTCTCGGCCCCCATCCTTCCAAACCAAACAGCCCATCCCATCCTGCTGCTGCATCCTTGCTCCTGACCAAATCCTGCACTCCCAGACTCTGCACCCTCACTCTCCACCAACTGCTACACCCTACCTCCTGCCCAGATCCCACATCCCCAGCCCAGCCTGCTCTGGCGCAGGCCCCATAACGTCTTATTCAGGGCTTACTAGTCTGTAGACAAGTCCTTGGCCCCTGTTCTTAGTAGTTTCCCTCCCTCTAAGATCTACCCTGCTGTGGGCATTCCCTTTGAAAATGTCCTGGGCTACCACATCTCCAATATAGTAGAATTTCCACAGGAAACTAGGGAGCATCTGCACAGAGGCCCTGAATGTGTACACCAACTCCCAGGCGTCATCTACACTTATTAAAACTTCACTGATTTTTCCCAATTAGTGTTACATCTGGGGCCCTTCTGCACTGGGTTTCACAGTGGGGAGCCGTCATCAGCACTATCTTTCTACCTGCTCTTTTACTGATCGATAGTAGAAATGGAAAACTACAATTAGGTCTCCAAAACGTTATAGTGGCCAACTAAATAGCTATGGAGGGATGGAAGGAACTGCTATGTTAGAAAGGGCGTGAGGCTCATCTTGTCTTTGAGGATACAAGTTAAATTAATTTTCGCTGGTTATTTCTTTTGCTATACAGCACTGGTAAGTTTGCAACATCACACAAACTACTTTTAAATCTTATAACGCATTGTCTGGAAATGTGTGAATGTATTTTGTGGTTTTAATATAAATTATAAATGTACAAGAAATTTAAAAGAGAAAGTACTTCCCTTCTCTCCTTGATCCAGCAGTCATTTTGTAATTTCTGGGTTTTTAAATCTCAAGCTATTTCTCTTTATACATCAGACACCTTATTGTCTGCGCCTATTTAGCTGAGACAGCAAATATCTCAGATATTTGAGACATTAAAATAGTATACTGATTTCAAAGGT